TGATGGAGTCGGTGTTATGCGGTGTGATTGCCGTTTAGCTTGATGATGGCGAAGGGGCAGTTGCAACAACCTGATGCCACCCTGGATACCTCCGGCTTAGCGGGACAGTTTCAACGGCGATCTCAGCACCGCACTGCCGGCTCCAACGTGACGTCATCTCCTTCGCATTACGTCACCAGTTTCCAGCCATTTCAATAATAATGCCAGTACGCATTATTCAGACATGGTACCTTTTTTGAAATATTTATTAGATATTATTTCCCGCTTTATACAAAAATAATTTTGACCTCGATACTCAGCTCCCAAACATTCATGGAACAGCCAAAATAACCGTGTATCGAATTTTGCATATTTAACCTACATCCGTCTATTTGCTTATATTTATATGTTGTGTCGCATTAATAATTTTTTAGCATTATGAATCTTGTCTAGTTTTGCATTAATTCGTTACTGTCTACAGGAGATATTATGCAAACAAGAAATGAAATCGAAATTTTAAAATGACACACTGTTATTATATGTATTTGGCGAGGCACATTGACCCACCGCATGAGGGCTCTGGTTCTTATCCGGTATTTAAAATCTCTACGATACCAGTAAATTAAACCGATTAATATTCACACATACGAAAATTAAGGAAATCTTACTCACACACAATTCACGAAATGGTTATCTGTTTGGTAGGCCATTAAACACACACACACATATATATATATATATATATATATATATAAATAGAGTAAACTATGCTCATTTTGGGTCTTCTATCAGGGTTCTCCATTGTAAACGGACTTCTTCAAAAGTGATTAACGCTGTATTGTTTTGTATTCTCGACATTAAGTACACACATATGCAGAGCGTCCCACGTAATTTGGGACCCAGGTACTAGCTATGTCCGCTACTGCTTCGGTGACATGCTGTCATTGTGGATTCCAGTTAAATGGGACATCCCTATTTGAGTTAAGTTCATACTTCAGCATTCACATACTGATTTTCATGCTCACAAGTTTAGACACTTTTAGGGCATGTGACTTTTTTATATAACTGGCCTCTACACACACGTTGTGATGAGTCAGAATGCCATATCTTCTCTGTCAGTATTAATTTGCAGTAAATTTGATTAGGATAACAATGTAGTTTTGGTAATAGTATTCAGATCCTTTTTTCTTACGAAGATTGTAGCTTCAGTGATTAATCAATTTGTCTGCAACAAATATGAATTCAATCGACGTGTTTTCCCCGCATTGGTTGTCTAAATTAATCTTGCGTTTTTTTCACATTTTGAGGCGAAATAAGTCTGAACTACGTATAAGTTTGCGATAAAAAGTACGTACATGTAAAAACATTGCAGAGATGTAACTGGGGCTTGCTCCGATAAAATTGTAAGTGGATTTTAGCCAAGTCCATTTATTAAAGAGACCAGACACAGTTCAGATTTCAATCCACTTCCAAGTGCATTGTGTTCGTGCCAAATGGCGAATGCCGTTGAAACAGCACAGCGCCACATAAGTTATAGTGTGCAGTATGCACAGACGCGAAAATCTACAATCTATTGAAACACTGAAAAAGACTGCATGTTGCATAGTCCAGCTGCATTTTAATATGCCTGGGAAGTTTCCGACACTCTTTGCGTTCGTCAGTACTATGAGTTAATTTCATAATTACATAATCTTTAACTTAACTTATTCAAAAATACCAATATGGCCTTTCGAATTTTTATCATAAGAAAATAATGCGTTCAGAATTTATATTTTCATTTGTGGGAGGTAAAATATTATGTTATACTTCAGGTGTTTATAAACAAGGCATGAAATTGAACCGGTAGTTGCAGTAAAGCGTCAGATGAAAATTGGTTTTATTATACTTTTTTTTTTACTTTTTCAGAAAGTCCCTAAAATTGTGAACATAGGCAACACAAAACCTGTTAATGCTTGCATCTTGAACTGCAACACTGTTTACGTTGGCGTCACCATGACAATCTCAAATCTTAAAATGAAATATCTGATATTATTATAATATATTCATTAATCTTGGTGAACGGATGAATTACAGTTGTGGTGAATATTCGTGTAAGTCATAACAGGCTGTGCCGTAATTCAGATGGCTAATCGACGGCTTTTCATCGCTAAAGTCCGGATTAGAGCCCAAGGCAGACAGTCCATTTGGGATTTATGTTGGACAAATGGGCAGGTTTGAGTCTTTCAGTTTCTCCTGTCAGTATCATTCTACCGCTGCTGTACATTTGCTCCTATATATTATTTGGGATTGAATAATGTGTCTATTAGGGGCCGTAGTTTCGTAGAGACATAGTCTCCTCCCCCTCGTATTAATAAAAATAAGTCATATTAGAGAGAGAAAATAAAACTTCACATGAAATGCATAATTATAATCTTAAATAATGAATGTGTGTGATGTGTGTTATACAAAGCTTTTTAGCTGCAAAACATTAAAAGCATCTTAAAATGTCTGCCTTAAATAATACTAAAATACTAAGGCCAATCGTCGGACTGCGAAAATTGTGTATATGATATGAAGGTCAAGGATACATGCTCATTAAATTATTAGAATTTTCAGGCTGAGAGGTGAATTAATTTCTTATTCACAATTCCCTTTAAGTTAGATACAGTTACGATTCATTAAAACGAATAACAGAATTTTGCTCAGCTGTTGTTTTGAAATATTGATGTGCGATTAAATCAAAATTACACGCTGTAACTCGTAAATAAATATAAGAAGGGAAATGCAGTGCCTTCAACGTCTGGTTTATTAACAGTTGCTATGGCAGCATGAAATTCCTTCCGTATCTACAGATAACTATCAGCGAGGTCTGTGCAATTATATTCCAATTTACTTTGTTGAATAATGTATAATGGCCAAGCATTGCGTGTGATCGTCATTAGGAAGTTTCTGCTTCGCTTGTTACAGGACACACATTTCATCACGACGAACAATGTCGGTTGCATTATACTCTGAGAAGAGTAGCGTATTCCTTCCGAAACAGTTGTTTTAAAACTAAGGGATATATTGTTTAACATATAAAACAGAGTTGTGATTTGTGGAAATTTTGGTTACCTCTAAGTTTTAAAATCGCGGAATGGAATTTTTGGTTACTTCTAAACTTTAAAATCGCGGAAAACATGACCAACTATTATGTTAAATTTTGTAATAAAATTTATAATAATGATAATTATGTTACATTTCGTTTTGTTTTTATTTAATATACCATTAAACCACTTTATCATATTTTGAAGACATATGAAAAGGTTCTCTGTCTTAAATTGTAATGTTATACGGCCTTTCATCTATCGGAACATTGTTATTATGCTCGTCGTCGTTAATATGAAAGATAGATGCGTAATATTTACTAATTTAAATATATGAAGTACGTATTGAACGTTTGTACACTAAGGAAATCAAAAAATACATGCACGTTTTTAAGTTTGGTTGCGAAAGCAAAATTTGACCAACGTTTAAGAGTTATTTAATTGAAAATTCTGTGCTGCGAAACTGGTGACAGTGCACGAAATGGCGTCAGACCGAACAGCTGTCGGCGCCTTGCTGGGATTCCCAGTGCTGACAAATACTGAAATGTTGAGGGGTGGGGAAAAGTGCTGAATGCGAAATTGCCTGCTGCTTCCGCTGTTGATCTTTCTGTGACTCACAACAGTCCCTAATTTTGCATTTTTACGTCACTAATATTACTGTAATATCTTCTTTTTATTACTAATATTTTGTTCCCAAACAATGAGACTTTAAGGGATATGGAATGTGTTTTATGTGTACTAATAATATCTTTGTATATTGATATAAAAGCATGAAGCTCTATTGTTGTGGAAGAACTATCTGCAAAAGCACGATCATTGGAAAACTTCTACTTCTGTTTTCTTTTCCTCTTCTTCTTTTTCTTCTTCTTCTTCTCTGTCTCTATCTGGAGAATGGTTGTTTTTTCCATGTCTGAGTCTTCAACTTGCTGTTATTCCTGTCTGCGTCACTGTAAATATTTCCGTGAATATGTTGTTCCTTCTTCCATCCATCTGAAGCATGGTTTTCCTAAGTATAACCATCAGGATCCCCCCTTCACACTTCTGTCCCTTTTTGTCACATCGTATGGAAATATGCCCACATGAATAATGCCCTTCAAATATTTGTTTCCAAACTTAGGTCTGGGTATTGCCTCAGCTTTACTACAGTCGACATACTTTCAGTTACCCCATGTTAACGTAATATTTTCGCAAATAATTCTCTATTATGCTTAGACCTCAGGTGCACACTGGTTATTCAGCACTTAGCAATTCTTACTCTGTAGTTTGTTATGATAGTTGCTGAACTTGCCGTAGTATTTTATATTAAATAACAGCACCTTCTTAGGTTTAATTAATTCAGGGAGGGTTTAAATATAATTCAGGTACATTACAAATTTGATTTTGTCCATCGTTGCGATTACTACTTGTATTGCTTTGGCATTACGAAGTCTCATGGCACAAACATTACGCTTTGCTATTGTCCAGTTATAGCTCGGTCTCGGCTTTGATATTCAACAAACTTGATTACATGCTTTATTGCTTTCGAGAATTATTCTCGCTTCTTTGACTTATTTCTTGTTTCTTAATAGTCTTGTCCAATTTTCACTTCTTACCGCAAGACGTATTTTGCTCGATTTACCTCTTCCTCACATCACGATTTATCGTTTCTTCTATATTTTTTATCGACATATCATTTTATTCAATATTTTTATAAGTCCATATTATAATAATTTTAAATATTTTAATAATAAACACATTTAAAACTTTTAATTGCAATTGAATTTCCGTCGGACGTTGCCTAAATTAACATGTTACACGTAAAACATAAAGCGATGGTATTTTGTGTCAGGTCATGCAGAGGCGTCAGTTGA